TTCCCATCCCTCTAGAACCCAATCTCAGGTTACTCCCCCCCCCCCCCTTATCTGTTCCTCTTCCTCTGTACTCAGACTTCTCCCAGGCAGCATGTCAATCTCTGCCTTGGAGATTCTTTGAAGAGTCAAAAATCCTGTGCTTGGAGGTAGGAGACTGAAGGTAGAAAAGTGGATGGGTTGAGAATCCAGAGGGTGGAGGTGGGGAGCATGTCAGTGCATCAAGTCTGGCTCCCAGGAAAAACATACTCTCATTCCTGAGGTCACCAAGACTGAGATGGTCCAAAGGAGGCCTGCAGTTGAAAGAAGCCAAAAATACTTTGTCACATGTCTACTGCCCTACTGGAGCCCAGAGGGCTATGAAAGCTAGGGACCCTAACTCTTGGGGACCCTGCTGACTTTACTCTTCCTCTAAAAAGAGGGTTAAGAAGGCAGTTGCTCACCTTTCCCTTTACCCTCTGATCCCCTACATACCTAACCTTGATGGATCCCCCAAGCCTTTTATCTGTTGAACACAATCCTGGCCTCTGCTGAAGGCCTAGCCACCTTCAAGACCTACAGATAAATTTCTCAGCTCCAAAGCATCAGCAGGATTCAATAACAATGCCTTACATTTACATGTCCCTCTCTTAGCTCATGTGTTCCTCACAAGATTGTTGTTTCACAACAAGGTTCCTCACAACAATCTTATGAGGTAGGCAGGGTAGGTATTAGTACCCTCCATTTTATAAATGAAGGAAAGTGAAATGGCCCGCTTAGCATGGCATAACTAGAAAGTGATAAAGGTCAGAATAGAACCCTGGGCCCAAGTCTCCAAAATCCAGTGCTTTCCCTCACGTTTACCAGATGTCCAATATGTGTGAAGCTCATTACTAAATGTATCACACCACACACCACAAGAGAATTAAGGATCAGCACATCCCTGCTTCCTTTAAGACTCAGCACAAATCCCATCTTTTGTAGGAAGCCTTTCCAAGTGGAAATCTCCCTTGGAGATTGCCTTTCATTGACACTACACACACACACACACACACACACACACACACACACACACACATACATACATACAGATAGATTGATAGATATCTTGCACATTCATAGTTATTAGCATGTTGTCTCTGCCATCAGAATGTGAGTTTAAGGTCAGGAAACAGTTTTGCCTTTCTTTGTATCTCCAACACAGTGCCTGGCACACGTGAATGCTTAAGACAGTTAAGTGCTTGTTGACAGATTGACTACCACCCAGGTAGAGTGGTAAAAGGCTGCACTCCTTCTACCCCAAAAGAATACCCACATTCTTCCTCTCTCTTTTCTTCTTTGATTTGCCATCCAAGAGATCCCCAAATTCCAAGGGACAGCGGCAGGTAGAGTTTAACAAGAGAAATGGCTGTTCATCCCATGTCCCTACTTCAAGAGGCCAGCTCAATTCTAGGCTGGTTCTGGGGTTGTGGACCTTGGACTAGAAAGGTTGGGTGATGGAGCCCAGCTCTGACTGATCATGTTCTGCTGATACTATCAATTCTGTGGTCCATTTGCAAGTCTATGTCTGCTCTTTTGTAGGGTCCAGGCTGTACTTTGCCTTTCTCCTAGAATGGGCCTGCTTTCATGGGGCTTCCCCAAACCAGAGAAATTCCACATCAAGGCACACTCCCACCTGCTCCTCTTCCACAGGTAGTGGGTATCTGTGTTATGATGCCATAGGCTTGAGGGTAGTATCCTCATGATGGTAGCTGTTGCTCTTCTCAGCTTCAGGCACCTGCATAAAGAGGTCATTAGGCCACCTCAACATACTCTCTCCTAATCCTTTCCTATTGCTCTATGGTGGTTGCTGTGAAGGGCTGTACCTGGTGGGGGGGGGAAACCCTCCACACTAGGCATATGGTATGTCACAGGTGCCACCTTGTGGTCACTTAGCATATTACACATCTCTGAATTGACATCTTCCCATCAGATAAATCCATCTCATGCTCAGGATCAAAGCAAACTTCAGTCTAGTGGTCTATGGGGACAAACTTCACTTTTAGAACTTTTGCTAGATCAAGATTTTATGTCTTATTGCTTTTGGCCGGAGGCCATTGAAAGACTTACAGAGCAAAGATAGGTGTAATGTGATCTTTAAAATAAATTATGAAGGTCAAAACAGAACAAAATTAGACTGAGTTTCTGAGGGTAAGAAGAGGTAACATATTACAGCTGGTTACATAAAAGGACTCATGAGACTAATACATCTCCTTCTCGTTTTAGCTGTAATCTAAAATAGGTTCAGCTCTGAATTTTTAAGCAGCCAGTACAACTAGAGAGACTAATAGTTGCATAGGTGTCTATGTTGAAGATTGAATATCCCACCTTTCCTGGAGGTGTTGAAGTGCAGGTGCTAGTTAAGATGACTCCCAAGAGCCAGATTCCAGTTACTCAGGGCAGAATTAAAGGTAATGTGGACGTTCTTTTTTACTGAAAGCCTCCACAGATAACAGTTCACATTTTTGGTTAGTAAGAAAAAAAGTAGTATAACATATTCATACGATCACAGATTTAGAGCTGGGAAGGACCTAAGAGGTCATTTAGTCCCACCCCCTTACGTAACAGATGATCAACCTAAGGTCCAGAGAAATTAATTGACTCCCCCACCCAAGATCATCTAGGGAGTAAATGGCAGAGCTTGGATTTAATCCCAGGGGTTCTTATCCCAAATTCAGCAGACTTTCTGTTGTACTATACTTCCAGAGAGGAGCTTTTTGACAAAGGTAATGGTGTCCATCTCATGCTCAGAATCAAACCATACTAATTTGGACTAATTGGGAGAAAATAGCAGAGATTCTGAATAGTACTATATTTTTAAAAGTAGTCTTACTGCTTTTATGTACTTTAGGCATATATATCCATATGTGTGTGTATATATACATATATACACATATATATATATATTAATACATTGGGTATGGAGAACTGAGATAAGAGTCTTCTGGGGATTTTATTTCATGACTTGGAAAGAATGACTTGTAATTTGATGTATTATCAGGTCTTTCTCTCCCTTGCCACAGCCTCTATCAATTGCCTAATTCCTCATCCAGCTGCAGCTACTCTAGTGCTCAAACTTGTAGACTAACATATCCACAACATATCCTAACTTCAATTCCTGTCCAATCAAAGAGTCTGGGCCCCTTACGCAGACACCCCTTGCTTACATGTCAGTTTGGCAGCCTTTAGTCTGATCACTGGTACCATGAGTCACTCAAGTGACTCCCTGGCTTACTGATTCTTCATCGATTTCTGACCTACTTTGGGGTCTTTGTCTTGATCTCCTGGACTTTCTATCTCTTAGTCTGTTCCCAGTGACTGTTAGCTGAAAAGCCCTTAGCTTTTGTCTGGACCACCTGAACCCCTAGCCTCTTACCTTGCCTATTACTGTTCAAGCTTAGGGCAAGCCTTAATGACTTATGCTCTGTTGATTGACTACTGAATGCCATATAGTAGATATATAGGTGGGTATTTAGCTAATATGTAGCAATATACATATAATTTATAGTAATATAGTTAATATACAGATATATTGGCCCACCTGAGTTCACAGTCAAGGTCTAGAACACAGGAACTTGGTTACTGTATACCATAGAGTAGGTATATAGATGAGTATTTAGCTAATATAGTAATATATACGATAACTTATAGTAACATGGTTAATACACAGATATATTAGCCCATCTGAGTTCACAATCAGGTCTAGAACACAGGAACTTTATTAATGCTAGGTAAGCCTTCTCTTACCCACAGCTAGCAGGTAGGTCCCCTCCCCCCAAGGTTTCCTTGGTCATGCAAGGATGACAGAAGATGGTTGTATATGTATAGTTACAATTATAGTTATACTAGGTTATAGAGAGGTTGTGATCTTTCTGAGTAAAAGATATTAAAGTGGACAGATATTAAAGTTTTATGCCTAGGAGAAACTCAGTAAGAGTTTTTTGAATTCAGTGAAATTAATTTACTTAGGAAAACCTTTTTGAAAATAGATAAGAGTGAGAAAAACTCTTAACTGATTATCCCTGATTAATTTGAAATTATCTAATTTCAAATTCCAGATTAATAAAGTCTGAAATAATGAAGTTCTATTCCATATTTTACTTATAATTCTGCCCTGAATATCTGGAACCACACCATATATCTCTTGGGAATCATTTTAATTAGCACCCATTTTGTGTTACCCTGGATATATTAAGAGGCCCAGAAATAGACTTTCCTCTTGCCCCTAAGATTCTGAGAGTAAAAGAGCATTTTTGCTTCCTCAATCCCCAGTAGCTAAGGAGGACATCACCTGGTGACCAAGTTTCTGTCCATCATCCTGGCCACAGTCAGTTATTTCCTAGCTTTATAAAATGAAAGCACCAATATAGCTGGATTGGAAAAGGACTGCTCATCCTTTGACACTTACCTCCCAATAGACCTCATCCTCAAAGCAGTTTTCATCTGCAGGTTGTCCCCAAAATGGAAGTTTCAAAATAAAGCCTTAAAATAAAACCACCCAAGATAGAGTCAAATGAAGAGAATAAACAAGTCTTTCTTCTCTTGTCCCACTCCCTTTCTGAGAATGCTCTTATTCCAGGGCTCTCACCCAGCCTATTCTGCTGAGAGCCAGTTTAGGCCAGGCTCTGCCTATGTAGATATATGAGGAGCATGGAAATAGCCATATATTCAAGACTCTCCACAATCTGCACCCCACCACCCCCCACCCTTTCCAGCCTGACCTCACACTATTTCCTTCAACATGAGCTTCAGTCCAGTTCCTCCATGTGCACTATACTCTGGTGAATTTGTACATTTCCATGGAATCTTACTGCCATGTTCTGGTTCATCCCATAGGTTTGGGAGCCCATCTCTACCTTCTTACTTCTCGTCTTTCACCTGTTTTAATTCTACCTCTCCTACTCAATAGACATCTAGGTGGTGCACTGGATAGAACACTGGGCCTGGAGTCAGGAGGACCTGAGTTCAAATGTGGCCTCAGACACTTACAGCTATGTGACCCTGGGCAATTCACTTAACCTTGTTTGCCTCAGTTTCCTCATCTGTAAAATGAACTGGAGAAGGAAATGGCAAACCTCTCTAGTATCACAGCCAAGAAAATCCCAAATGGGATCACAAAGAGTTGTATACAACTGAAATGACTCAACAACAACAAAAATAAAAAAATCCTACTCAACTGAAATGCTACTTCCTCCATGAAGCCTTCCCTGATCCTTCAATATCAGCAATAATTCCCACGCTCTGAACCCTAACAAACAAAACTTGCATAGCAATTTCCTTCTTAGGCAATTCTCATGTGTCATTTGACATTGTAGTGATTAATTAATTTGGGAATGAGGATAGGGACTGGACCATGATTTCATTGATGTAGGGAACTCCCCGAAGAGGAAACTTCCTCTACAAGGGTAGGTCCACACCTTCTGTAATTTATGGTTTGAGAGAGTTGCCTAGAGCACTGAGAAGCGGCTCATAGAGTCACATAGCAGCCAGCATATGTCAGAAGTGGAATTTGAACCCAGCTTTTCCTTGCTCTGAGGCCTGTTCTCTATCTACAATGCCTCACAGCATTTTGTATGCTTGTCCTTTCCCCCTTCCTAGATTTGAATCTCCATGAAGGCAAAGACCTTGATTTATTTAATCTTTGTTATATCCCCTAGCTTCAAGCACAGTGCCCTGGACACAGTATGTGCTTAGAAACTGAAGCAGAGAATAAGAGTGGGGTTCACTTCCTTTAGAGGCACCTTTCATCTTGGTCTATCCTGTCTGGCTCTTGGGCAGGTGGTGTGATGAGTTTCTTCATCTCTAGTGGGAAAGTTCATTAGACTTGGGTTCCAGAGTCGGCTTTATCATTAATAAGTTTTGTGACCTTGAACAAGTCCCTGGGACTCAGTTTTCCTCCTCTTTAAAATAAGTAGACTGGTTTAGAGGAGTGAATATATACCTCCCAGGATTCATATTCTGTCAATTAGCAGACAGGAATTCATTTCTCATCCTCCACTGAAGTGGGAGCCGGTGCCATTGTAATACCAAAATGAGCCACAGGGTGGCAACAGCAAGATACAGAATGGAAAAGTGAGGCCCAGATCCCCAAAGAGGAAAGAATAATTGACATTTACATAACACTTCAGTGTTTGTGAAGCTCTTTTGCATACATTCATTTAACCTGAGTCTCCAACAAAACCTGTGAAGCAGGTACCACAGGTGTTATTACCCTCAGTGCCCAGCATACAGTAGGATCTTGATAAATACTCCCCGTTTTCCAGAGAAGGAAGCTCAGGTTTGTAGAGTTAAGTCACTTGCCCCGGGTTTCATAGCTAGTATCTGAAGCAGGATTCTAACCCAGTTCTTCCTGATTCCAAGTCCAATACCATATCCACTACATATTGCTGCCACTCTAACAGGGAAATAAAGAATGGTTTCTATAGTAATCCACAGTCTAAATGTAACTTTTCTCCGAATCAATATCCTATAGTTCCCATTTCATCCCAAATGCAACTTACAGCCATTTCATACATCCCCATAGGTACCAAAGCCTTCCCTTCCCTTATACACCCCCAATAACTCACCTACTATGGCACCTCCCACAAAGGCCATGGCCAGAGACACAAAGATGCCTGCTGCCTGGTATTGGCCCTGCTTTCGAGGGCTCCATCCACTTTTGGAGCCTTCAAAGTCAAAGACTTTCTTGAGCCTAGAGGGGAAAACGGAAACCCCCCCCCAAGTAAGCTAAGACACGAGTGGGGTTGAACCTCTGGGGTCCTAAGCAGAATAGGGACTCAATAAATGTTTGGTGTTGATGGTAACCTGCTTCCTTCATGGCTAATGCCTCTATGTTTAAATGGCCACCAAGATCATAGATTCTCAATGCTTGGAATTCAGTTTTTTCAACTTAAAATGAGAGGGGAATTGAGCTAAGTGATTCTACTTTCCTTCTAGTTCTAACATTCTAAAGTTCTATGTCAGGATTCCCAGAAACTCAAACTGGAGTGTAGGATGGAAGGAGGAGGAATCTAGTAGAATCATTTTTGCCTCTGGATGTCCACCCAACAGTGATTTGCCCATAATAGTTTAATAAATGTTTGAAGAATTAAATTGAAACAATAAAAGAATAGCTAGAAAGAAAAAGATGGGAAGCCCCTAAGAAACATTGGGGGAGTGAGCCTATAGGGAGTTGGGGTTGGCCAGGAATGAGTTAATGGAGAAACAAAAGTCAAGGGGGACCCAGATCTTCCCTATCCCCTGTATCCCATCCCCACCTCACCCTTCTTGTCCATAGACAGCTATACTAGCTTCATTGGCAGTGACAGCACCTACAATGCCCCCGATGATGCCTGGCATGCCATGCAGATTGTTGATGCCACAGGTGTCTTGGATACGCAGCCGAGACTCTAGGAATGGCTAGGGAGAGAAAAGTGCTGACGGTGTGTCTGGCAATGGAGATGCCACCAAAGCCCAGAACTGGGGAGTCCAGAATCATCCTGTCCCCATCTAGAAATGATTCCTTCATCATGATCCTCCCCCTTTCATCCCTTATTTTTCTTCCTTTATATCTCTCCTTCCTCTCTACCACCATTAGGCAGCCCTTACCGTCAAGTAGACAAAGCCCACGGTGGATACAATGCCACAGATGAAGCCAACAATAAGAGAACCATAGGGCATGAGCATCATCTCAGCTGCTGTCCCCACAGCCACGCCACCAGCAAGTGTTGCATTCTGGATGTGAACCTGTTGGGGAAGGGAAACAGAATCATTGCTACAGACAGGAAATCTCAGCCTTGAATTGAGCAGAACTAGGGCTTAGGGCCATGGCAACTTGGTAATGTCCATTTAAACGGGCCAGAATAGACATTCAGTCAAGAAAGCCAAAGATATTGGTTAATCCTATAAACACAAAGCAGTGCAGTTGACTACAGACTTGTGTTCAGATTCTTTTGTCTTGCATATATGTATATAACCACTCCAATTTGTCTGTCTACTCTATATGCATGTATTCCTATGTCAACCCTTTATATGTGACCACATCAGTGTATCTGTGTAGTATGGTAAATTCTAGAGGACTGGATTGTTTCAATATGGTTTTATTTTCATGAAGGTTAGTAGGAACGAATGCATATATAGGTGTACACAATATGGGTTTATTTTCATGAAGGTTAGTATAAATGAATGCATATATAGGTGTATACAATATGGTTTCATTTTCATGAAGGTTAGTAGGAAAGAATGCATACATAGGTGTATACACACCGGTATAGAGTGTATACTACCAGCCCCAAAGTTGCATAATTCCCAACCCAGCCTGAGTTCTGCCCTCATCTCCCCTTTGAACTGAAATGTTACCATTAGCATCACTAATGGATTTAGCCAATCTTTCTCAAAATAATTTGGTCATGGACAAGGAGGTGCTGGTAAATGTTTATTGACCGGCTCTCTGGCAGGAAAATTATGTACATGACACACTTTTAGGTTTACTTTACATTATTAACATTTTTCTCCATCACTTTCTGAAGTCTAGGCAATCAACAAAACAATAAATCAAGCTTTGTTGTTATTGTTCAATCATTTCAATCATGTCCCATTCTTCACAGTCCCATTTGGAGTTTTCTTGGCAAAGATACTAGAATAGTTTGCCATTTCCTTCTCCAGCTCATTTTATGGATGAGGAAACTGAGGCAAACAGGGTTAAGTGACTTGCCGAGGGTCACACAGCTAGTAAGTGTCTGAGGCCAGATTTGAACACAGGAAGAGGAGTCTTCCTGACTCTAGGTCCAGCATTCTTGTGTACTGTGCCACAAATCAAACCAGCATTTGTCAATTTCCAAGGTACAAATACACAGAAGATTAACAACTGATAAGAGCTGGCTTCAGTATAGCCCTGATCATGGAATACTTTCGTGTTGGAAGTATATTGATGTAATTCATAAAGTTTGATCTAGAAGTATCATCTAGAAGTAATACGCTCAGTTCTGGGTACTGTATTTTAGAAAGGACTTGTATCTCATATCTTACACTTCAATTCTCTTTCCACTACACATCATGGTGTCTTTCAATTTAGCTGGACAGGGTTCAGAGGATGGTGACAGGTTTCAGCAAGCATCAATCAAAGGAACTGTGCATACACAGTTTAGAGAAGAGAAGACATAGGGAAAAGAAGGGTAGCTGTCTTGGAATACTTGGAGGTCTATCAGATGAAAGAGTAGACTTGTTTTGCTTGGACCCAGAGGATAGAACTAGAAGCAATAGGGTCAAAGCTTTAAAAGCAAATTTAGGCTTGGTGCAAGGAAAAAAACAACCACAGAGCTATCCAGAAGTGGAATAAGTTGTCTGACATTCTCCCTCATGAGAGATCTTCAAGCTGAGACTGATGGCCACTTCTTAGGTATGTCATAGACAGGATTCTTATTTCAGAATGGATTGGATTAAATGGATTCTAACGGATTGGGTAAGATGGACTTCCAACTCTGTTGGGAAATAGCCCTAAAGTAGATTGGATCAGGGAAATTTTGGAACAAAATAGAGAAAATTCAGCCTATCTTATAATATCACACTTAATATTATTTTGTTTTGTATCATACATTTTTATATAATTTATGTACAATTATGTCAAATATTTAAGAAGGAAAAAAATTAATGCTATCAAAATTTATTGGTGAAACCCTTATTCACATGCTGCAGAACAGTTGGGGTCCATGAAACATAATATATGAAAAGCAGAGTAGAATGTTGTCTCCAGAGGGCTCATGTTAAACTGTCCAAATACACATTTACTATCTAGGGGTAGAAGGGCCTTAAGAGTCTCCTTTAGTGTATTAACAGAGAAGCACGTATTAGTCTAGTTGTTACCTTGGACAGCACAGGGATCCAGAGAGTCTGGCCTGAAGAGAATGAGATACAACATAGGAAAGAAAAAAGTAATAGGTGGCCCAGAAGGCAGTATGCAACATCACGAGGCTCCAAAGACACATTCACAATTGTGTTTAGAGCTAGCCTTAGTATCTCTCTTTTTTTTCCTCTCTCAATATTACTTAGAATTAGGAGTTTGAGCTCCTACTCTACATCAGTAGATGTCAACCCTCTGATTGTCCATCTGGTTTCCACTCATAAGCTCACACAATCTAAGATAGTCACCTAATTCTGATTTTGATTTAAAATTTTTTTTTATTCACCATTTACTGAGTGCCTACTATGTGTAAAGCCCCACGCTAGAGCTTTTGGGTGGGTATACAAAGGTGAATAAGAAATTGTACCTATCCTCAATGAAATTAGTAGGTGGTAGGAATAAGACAAGTGCATTGATAAAAGCTTTCATTCAGACTTAAAATCCTTGTGGCATCTTAGGGAGAATTTTTTTGAGTTGCAACTGGTCCAACTTTGGGTTTACATCATCCCAACCCTCCAAATATCAAAGGGGCATCTAGTTGTGTTTCCCAAACACCAGAACCCTCCCCACATCTTACCTCCTACTCACCATGTCAAGCTTGCCCTTCCGTTGCAGGGCGCTGGAGAGGGCCACACTGGTGAGCACACAGGCAGCCAGGGAGCAGTAGGTATTGATGGCTGCCCGGTGCTGGGCATCTCCATGGTTGGAAACAGCTGAGTTAAAGCTAGGCCAGTACATCCACAGGAACAAGGTGCCTGGTACAAAGGAAGTTAGGCAGGCACTAAAACAGTTTATGCTACGAAGAATAATTCTAATAAAATAGAAAAAATAATACACAGGATAACAAGCCACCTCCACCAGTCCTGATACTGAACTTCTGCCTACTACAGTGTCTGCCAATGGGACACATTGGAGAAAATGTGGGATGAGGCTCCATAGGTAAACAGGCTAAGGGACAGAAGCTTTGAGCTTCAGGGAGAGAATGAATAACCCCAGAATCCCTCTGTCTTCACTTCACCACCATGGATATCTCTGAGATCCCATGACCTGAAGGTTCACTGCTGGGAGAGACAGTTCCTGAGTTTCAGATTGGAGGGCAGGAATGGAGGGTGGGTACTGCTGGTTGCTGAACATCCCACCAGGTTGCCAGGTGAACAGATTTCAAAGGTCAAATAAAGCCCACCCCTGGTCCCTGCCAATATCAGGGCTCAATCTCTCACCAATCATGGCAAAGATGTCTGAGTAGTACACAGAGCTCTGCCTCTCCTTGCTCTGTGCCAGGTTGGGCCGGTAGAGGATCCAGGTCACTGTAAGTCCAAAGTAGGCCCCAAATGTGTGGATGGTCATAGAGCCACCAGCATCCTTTACCTTGGGCATGAAAATGGAGAGTTAATCCTTACTTGTCTGAGTCACTCCCCAAGGACAGAGGTTGAGGCCCTAGGAAGGATGTCAATGTCAATCAATTCTCAAAAGGCTTCAGGGTTAAGGAACCTGCCGCCTCAAGGCCACATGCACCCTCTAGGTCCTCAAGTGAGGTCCTTTGACTGAATCCAAACTTCACAGAACAAATCCCTTTAATAAAAGCATTTGTTCTATAAAACTTGAACTTGGTCAAAAGGCCGCACCGAAGGACCTAGAAGGCCGCATGTGGCCTCGAGGCTGCAGGTTCCCGGCCCTGGACTGATAGGGGATATAGGCTTGGGACCATCAAAGTTCTTTTCTTCTTTGGCTCTCTTTTCTCCCCATTCTCCCCTGTAGCCCCACCTGTCATTTTGTCCACTCACATAAATCTCTGATTTATTCTGAAGTTGAGCTCAGACCAAAGGTCATCAGGAGGTGACCAGACAAAGGAGGGGAAATGAGTCTCTTAGACTGAAGACCCAACCACTAGAGTCCTGCTTCTGCCAGGATCGTGCTGGTCTGCTTTGGTTCATCTAAATTAAAATCACGTCGAGGCCACGGTGACCTCACCTGGAGAAGGTTGAGGAGGATGTACTCATTCACTGAAAAGAGGGTCACCTGGAACAAGGTCATGATGAGCAGCTGTATGGGGCTGACCTTGCCAAGGACAGCTCCAAAGGCCACACAGACAGAGCCTACACAGAAATCTGCATTGATGAGGCTGTAAGGAGACAGGTTCAGAGGAATTTGTGAGTTACGTTGGGCCCCCCAGATAGCATGGGATCCCGAGGTGACAAAGAGTCTGGGCACCCTGGAAATCCTTTCAGGACAGCGGCTGTGCTCTCAGTTTTTGCTAAAGTCCAAACTGCTTAGCGGGACATTCAAGACCTTCTGTGATCTGGCTGACAATCTACCTTGTTCAACGTTATTGCCCACCCTTCTTCTGTATGTGCCCTACATTCCAGCCAAAATGGACTAGCTATTGTCTTCAAGTTCTCCTGTGCTGGGCCTGGAGTCAGGAAGACCTGGGTTCAAAGCCTGCCTCTGACACTCACTAGCTATGTGACCATGAGCAAGTAAGCTATCCTCAGCCTCAGTTTCCTCATCTATAAATGAGGGGTCTGGACTAGAGGGCCTCCAATGTACTTTCCTGCTCTAAGCCTATGATTCACCATGCCTTTCCTTATGCCCTTCTCTATCATGAAAATGTCTTTCCACCATTCCCTTTATTATTCCCTTCACTGCAAGGGCCTGCTCTAATGAGACTTCCTCCTTTCTTGACTTCCCTAATCAGCTGCGATCCCTCCCTCTTTTGAGTTCCCATCACAATTGGTTTCACCTCTTATGGGACTTATTGCATCCTGCCTTCTTCACAGCTATGGGTATAGACGTCTCAACTCTTCTACTTGCACCCTAAACTCTTTAAGCACAGGGTCTAAGCCTGATTCGGCCTGATATTCCATACAGGGCTATGAACACAGGAGGTACTCATTAAATGGAACCTCAAGATAAAGGCAAAGAGTAGATACAACTAAAGACTAAGAACTTACATTTGTTCATCAAACCCCAGGATAGAAGACTAGGTCGCATGCCTTGAAGTTGGTGAGATGGTTTCAGAACCAAAGAAAGTAATACTTTAACTAGGAGGGTAGGAGAGAAGATTTTGGCTGCAAGTCAAATGGAAAGTCCCAGTCATCTTTAGGGTGTAGTGGCAAGGCCAAAAGGTTAAGTGACTTGTCCAGGGTCACATAACTACTAAATTTCTGAGGCAGGATACAAATTCAGGTCTTCTTCACTCTAGGCCTGGCACCTCCTATGATCTCATTTGATCATCACAACAATATTGACTAGTAGACAGGGAAGACCTTACTAATTCCCTTTTCATATGTGAAGAAATTGAGGATCAATGAGAGATGAAATTACAAATTTCTTGATTCCTAGACCAGTACTTCTTCCACTACTAGATTTTTGAGACTGTTATCAGGGGCAACCATGCTTTAGCACTACACATCCCCATGTGCCACTATTAAACAAAATACTGAGCTGGATAGATGTTTGATTCAGTGTGGCATTTCTTATGTTGTTAGAGCAATACTCAGTCTTACAAAGAGGCTAGAGGACCCAACACCCCAACACAGAAAGAATGTGGGATAAGTATCCCTCTCCAACTTTCCCTAAGGAAGGGCCAGACCTTCTTGCAGCATCCAGATCCCACTGATGGTTCCCCCCCACCCCCAACAATTCCCAGTGCCTAGTGCAATCATTTGCACATAGTAATTGCTTAAACAAATGTAAGTTGAATTGAATTAAATGTGCTAGGTGACAGTGCAGGGAGGAGTATATGTGTATCTGTTGAATCCTAGAGTCAGTATGTACGAGATAGATGTATAGGGCAGTTGTGCTAGACACTGTCACAATATGTGATTTTGAGCAAGTCATCTTGCATTTACATCTCTGGATGCTTATTGTTATTTGTATGTGACATTCCATTCCTCCCACCTTCCCTCATGCCTTTGTTCAAGCTGCCCACCTACCCTCCCCACGCTTAGAATGCAATTTCTCATCATCTATTCCTTTTCATTCATTCAATAAACATTTATCAAGCACCTACTATGTGCCACACACAGTGCTAAGCTTCCTCTGAGCCTCAGTTTAAGTGTCAACTCTTGCTCAAACCTTATCCTGATTCCTCCAGCTGTCAGTGCCCTTGATCCCACAGAACTGTGTTGTGTTTATTTTAGGTATGTTTTATTTGGATTTATTTGGGTTCATGTTGTTTCTTCCTCTAGTAGAATGCCCTCCTTGAGGGCAAATACCAGTTCACTTTTTCATGGGCAGCCTCAAGAACTAGCACAATGCCTGGCACATAGTAGGTCCCTAGTAAATGCATGAAGAATATATGATTAATGGAATTATAAGATGAGGGAATAGTACATGATGATTGCTAGGATCTTTCTCAATTCTTTTACTTTGGCTTCAGATTTTGTGATTGTAAAATATGATGGGAGGATGTTTGAGAGGGTTAGTTCATTCCCCCAAAGCTCCTTCAGAACCCATGCCTTCCGCTCCAGTCACCCAGTCCCTCTTACTTCTCCACACCGATGAGGATGTAGCCATCATGGAAGGAGTGGAACCAGCCTTGCATCAGCAGTGCCCACTGGATTCCAAAAGCCGCCAAGAGGAAATTGAAACCAACAGAACCAAAACCATAGCGCTGCAGGAAGGTCATGAGGAAGCCAAAACCCACAAAGATCATAACATGGACGTCCTGGAAACCTGAAGAAAGAAAAGCAGGAACCCTTATTATAAAGGCAACACAGCTATTCAGTATTTCTGATCTCTCTGTGCCCCTAGCCCTTTATTATGAATGAATGGATCTCCTGAACTGCCTTTGACAAGAGGTCCACGCTCGTGGTTCATCACCTTGTCTGCCACTGGAATCCAGGCTTAGGGCAATGTACTTTCCTAGAGCAGGCTACACAGACCCAAGAAGCAAAATGTGGATCTGGAAGCAGAGGTGGGGGAATCATAGGTTTAGAAATCAAGAGTTAATTGTGCCATAAGAAATGACAGGCAGGATGCTCTCAGAAAAACCTGGAAAGACTTATATGAACTTATGCCAAGTGAAATGAGCAGAACCAGGAGAGCACTGTACAGTCACAGAGATACTTAAGGATGATCAACTGTGAAAGACTTGGCTTCTCTGATCAAAACAATGATCCAAGATAATTCCAAAGGACCCATGATGAAAAATGCTATCCACCTCCAGAGAGAGAACTGATGCTCTGAATGAAGACTGAAGTATACTTTCTTTTTAAAATGTTATTTTTCTTTTTTGGCTGTGTTTTCTTTTGCGACATGACTAATATGGAAATATGTTCTGCATGACTTCACATGTATGATCACTATCAAATTGCTTGCCTTCTCAAGGAGGAGGGAGGTGCTGAGGGAGAGAATTTGGAACTCAAAATTTTAAAAAATGAATGTTAAAAAATGTACATGTAATTGGAAAATATTTAATGAAATAAAATTTTAAAATTTAAAAAGAAATCAAGAATAGGTCCTTCAGTAAAAATCAGCCCAGTCTTGAATCCTGCCTTATTCTCTCTACAGGACAGGGATTAGAGGTGGGAGATATTGGGAACACAAGTTCTAGAGCAAGATGAGAGGAGACCCTGTGGTTACATCAAGTTGAAGGAGTGAGAGTTCTCTTACAGTCTTGGATATTTGTTTGTTTCCTCCCCAAGAGAAAGCCACATCTTACTAGTAGAAAAACCATAGCTTTGAATACATAGAACTTTGTCAGCAAGGTGATGTCTCTGCTTTTTAGTATGCTGTCCAGATTTGCCATAGCTGTCCTTCCAAGGAACAAACATCTTTTAATTTCATGGCTATAGTCACTATTGGCAGTGATCTTTGAGCCCAAGAATATAAAATCTGACACTGCTGCCATTTCCTCTCCTTCTGTTTGCCAGGAAGTGATGGGACCAGACGCCTTGATCTTAATTTTTTTTTTTATGTTAAGTTTCAAGCCTATTTTTACGCTCTCCTCTTTCACCCTCCTCAAGAGGCTTCTTAAGTCTTCTTCGCTTTCTGCCATCAGAGTGGTAAAATATGCATATCTGAGATTGTTGATATTTCTCCCAGCAACTTTAGTTCTGGTTTTTGATTCATCAGCCTGGCATTTCCTGTGGCATATTCTGCATTTAAGTTAAACAGACAAGGTGACAATGTGCAGCCTTGTTGTTCTCCTTTCCTAATCTTGAACCAACCAGCTGTTCCATATTCAGTTCTAATTGTTGCTTCTTCTTCTTCTTTTTGGCAAGGCAATTGGGGTTAAGTAACTTGCCCAGGGTCACACAGCTAGTAAGTGTCAAGTATCTGATCTGAAACCAGATTTGAACTCAGGTCCTCCTGGCTCCAAGGCCGGTGGTCTATCTACTGTGCCTAATTGTTACTTCTTGACTCGCATACAGGTTCCTCAGGAGACAAGTAAGATGATCTGGTACTCCCATCTCTTTGAGGACTTGCCACATTTCGTTGTGATCTACACAGTCAAAGGCTTTAGTGTAGTCAATGAAGCAGGAGTAGATGTGTTTCTGAAACTTCCTTGCTTTCTCCATAATCTAGGGAATGTTGGTAATTTGGTCTCTAGTTCCTCTGCCTCTTTGAAAACCAGCCTACACTTCCGGTAATTCTCGGTTCACATTTGCTGAAGCCTAGCTTACAGAATTTTAAGGATAATCTTGCTGGTGCATGAAATTAGCACAATTGTTCAATAATTTGAGCATTCTTTGGCTTTGCCCTTCTTTAAGATTGCGACATGAACTGATCATTTCCAATACAGTGGCCACTGTTGAGTTTTCCTAATTTGTCGGCATATTGAGTACACCACTTCAACAGCATCATCTTTTAGAATTTTAAATAGCTTAGCCCCACTAGCCTTATTGTTAGCAATGCTTCCTAAGGCCCACTTGACTTCATTCTCCAGAATGTATGGCTCTAGATCAGTAACCACACCACTGTGTGTACAGTTCTTTTGTATATTCTTGACAACCTTTATTAATCTCTTCTATTTCTGTTAATTACCTCCATTAGTTATAATATACGAAAGTTTCCATATTTATGGGGCAAGTGTTCTAAGAAGGCTGTTACTGGGGCAGCTGGGTGGCGCGGTAGATAGAGCACCGGTCCTGAAGTCAGGAGGACCTGAGTACAAATCCAGCCTCAGACCAAACACTTGTCACTTAATAGCTGTGTGACCCTGGGCAAGTCATTCAACCCCAATTGCCTAAAAACAAAACACAAAAAAAACCCCCAAGAAGTCTGTTACTAAACTACTCAAAGACTAAGCCCTCCTGCTTTCTCGTGATCCAATGATGATTAGGATGAAAAAGAAGGATCAGTTCACTGGTTCTACATTGACTCCTTTTCCTCAAACTTAACTATTATCTGGGCATTGTGATATTAAGTTGGACTTGAAAGTCAAGATAGATCTTGGTTCAAATCCTGCCTCTAATATTTACTACTATTTCCCTGTATTGTTGCTCATATTTTTATATACAGCTTGTCTCCCCAACTGGATCATAAGTTTCCTGAGGGCATGGACTGTGTCTTAGACATCTCTGTATCACTCATTTTTAGAACACAGTAGGCACTAATTATTTATTCATATTGATGAGGATTATAATTTTTTTAATACTAGCCAGGGGTGGGGAATTCTCTGGCTTTTGGCCAATGGCCAGTTTTCTAAAACCAACAAACAAAAAACTACTGCCCCCATGGCTTTGCTATTAAATTGACAAATAAAATTTGTAAAAATCTGGTCCTTCCAGATTAAGGTTCATCCTGCCGTCCCTACCTGTGTGAATCGTTCTGAGCTGGCACTGTTAGAGATAGAAGAGTAGAGGCCAGGCAGTTTGCCACAGGCAAGTTTCCAGTCATGGTTCTGGCTTCTCTCCCTATGGCCCTTTCCTCTCAATTCAATTTAAAAAGCTTTTATTTAATGCCTGTTATTTACTTTAGAGGCAATGTGGTTTGGAGGGGAAAACGCTGGATTTGAGTCTGAGGAGCTGGGCTCAAATCATGGATCTTTTACCTACTGCTTGTCTGACCTCAGGCAAGCTACTGAACTCTGGGCAGCAGTTTTTCTAATTATAAAATGAGGGTGTTGGATCACCTTAAATTCTATTATGCAATGCAGTGGGGATGGTACAATCAATTTGTTATGTAGATCTAGACCCAGTGGGTGGAAACTTGCTGCCTTGAGGAGATACATGTCCTCAAGTGCGTGCCTTTGACTGAATCCAAATTTCACACAACAAATCCCCTTAATTAAAAGGATTTGTTCTGTAAAAACAAGGACCTAGAAGGCCACATGTGACCTCGAGGCCACAGGTTCTCCAACCTCTAAAGGGTAACTGAAATTTGTAGAAGATTCAAAAACTTCATTCTATAGTATATTTATTTATTTTGAAATTTATGGAATAAAACAAGCATTTACATAACATAGTAGAATAAAAAAGATGGTTGCATATGAAACTGCAAATCTATTTTGTACAATTTGCTATTCCTTTTAAATATATAATAGAGTTATCATGTAAATTTCTTTTTTTTTCTTTGCTCCCCCAATCCCACCTGAGAGATGGCTACCATTAGACACAAATAGTGTGTATATGTGTGTGTCTAAAATTATTCTATACATATTTCTATTTATCAGTTCTTTCTCTGGATGAAGATAGTATTTTTCTTCATATGTCCTTTATAGTATCATTTAGTTAAAATATTTGTCAACCTGAATTTTGAGGTAGTTCGATAGAGAAGAAAAAACCCTAGACTTTGGAGATAGCCAAGACCTAAGTTCAAATCCCATTTCTGACATTTGCTACTTTTGTGAGCAAAGGAAAGTCATAACCTTTCTGAGCTTTAAATTCCTGATTTATTTTTTTAAAAAGGGGGTGGGGGTGGGAGGGAGGCTAATAGCAGTTGTAGTTACTGGCTAGATTTCTTTCTCAAAGACCAAGCCTGAAACCCAGTTCACTCTGCAGTTCATAGATTGGACAACAATAGGTCCCTGCCCAAGCACCACTTAATGGTTATTTTTCAGGCCCTCCTAGCTCAGAATGAATGTAAATAGTAACTGCTTCTCTTTTGGCCAGCCACCCTGAGGGTCTTCTCCTCCCAGTTTGATTTTTTTTTTTTTTTTGGTTGTTGTTGATTAAAGGGGCCATCCTTTGACTCATTTCTTAAAGAGGCCTATTCACTGAATGGGTGTTGCCCCACTCAAAGTGAGAACCAGAAAAGACCTTAGCTTAAAAGGGCCAAGGTCTCCCATTGCATCCTGGGCCATCTCCAGTCAGCCTGATGAATATCAGGCCACTGGACCCAGATGGCTCTGGAGGAGAAAGTGAGAAGCCTGGTGACTTTGCACAGGGCTCCCTCATTCAAATCAAAGTCAATTGCAAGTCATGGCATCATCTAGGACAACAACAACTTACTTCACAGAGTTTTTAAGAGGATCAAATTAGCATGAGTTATGTACTTTGTAAGTTTTAGAATATTATACAGGGAGTCCCAAATGTCTTAGTGCCATTTTAAGCTTTTTAAAAAAGTAGCTTAAGTTATTAATGCTTATTTTTATAATTAATAATTTAACATTTTACCTTTATGCAATATAAATATAATATTTTTATCTTATTTATTACATTTAATAATAAGCTTATTATTAAAGCTATTAAAAATAGCTTTAAACTGCACTAAGACTTTTGAGACACCTT